AATAGGAGTTGGCTGGAAACGAATTACTTCTGTTTAGACTAGATGATACCCTGTAAGTCAATTGACATTCTAAAATGTTAATTAAAAGAGTGTTAAAGATATTAATCTAAGGATTATGAATCCAAAATGATCGAGTTTAGGAAGATTTTCTTTTTCTTTAACTCAAACAAGTCATAAAATTATAATCATTCCTAATTAATAATGCAGTAAATAATTTGTAATAAATATTTTACCAATAGATAAACCTAAACTAAATAATTTCGATAATCTAGCTCTTAAATTTCAATAAATATAGTTTTTTATATCATTTTTTTCTAACCCAATGTTAATCCCCAAACGCCTTCATCCCTTTTTTGCACTTCCAGGGTATTTCTAGCCAAAGTTTATTTGTCTTTTGTTGAGCTCACTTTTTGTATTGTTGGCCAAGTAAATACTTAAATATAGCACACACTTAAATCGCTGTTGATATTGTGTAGCGAAAGTGAAATTTAGTTTGCCCCTCTACCTGGAAGTGCCAAAAAAAGAAAAAAACCAACCAAATAAGAAAATGGCCAGAGGGAGGGGGAAGGAAACCAACTAAAAAGACTTAAATGCGAGATTCGCTTACGGAAGTTCCAAATTTGAAGAGATTTCTTTGAGTTTTTAGCAACGTTTTTGCGATAATTTTTTGTTAACTTGCAATTCTCGGAGTTGTTTGCTGGGTCTAATGAAAGTTAATTACAACATCAAAGCGTTGTCGCTGCCACTGATCTCCGGTGATCTTGGGGTCTCCTCCTCCGGGTCCACCTCCTCCTTCTTCTCCTCCTCCTCCTCATCGCCTGCGCACAAATTCCGATTAGGCGCGGCCTAAAAGGCAGGAGGAGGAGAAAGAAAAAAAATTGTGCGATTCCAGCCAAACTCTAAGTAGAGAAAGTACATGTAAAAGTATCTGAAAGATGCGAATCTGCTGCTGCTTTTTTTTGGGGCTGTGGGGTCAAAATCGCTGGCGACTTTTACCGCTCGCTTTTGGGCCAAAAAGGCGCGCTGACCCCGCCCACACGGATCATGATGTGTTTGCTTGTAAATATTACAACATGACTGCTTTTTTTCTACTCTTTTTTTTGGTTTAGAGATGTTAACTCGAGAGCTGCTCGTCATTTGCATACTTAACACCTTTCGGGAAAATGCTTAGGCAAGCTGTATGAGTATGTGTGTGTGTGTGTGTGGTTGTTGTTGTTGTTGTTGTTGCTGAGGCACTTGAGTCATCTTGGCTTTTGTGCAATTAGAAAATCATCATCAAGTTGCAGTCGTGTGTTACTTTCAATTTCAATGTGCCTATGCCAGTGCCTCTGCCCATTGTGATGCATGATTTGTATCTTGAATCTTTGGATCTTTCGGCTTTCGTTTTGCGGCCGCACCTCGCCTGCATCTTCACCTCGATCTCCATAGGCATAGCCATTGGCATAGCCAACATGCACATCCACAGCTCCATCTCCATCTCCATTTGAATCGGCGATGACTTGGCACTGCACTTTGGCTATTACAATTATTGTTATTGTTACTGTTATTGCTTTATTGTTGCAGTTTATTGCATTGTCTGGATTCGCCATTAAGAAACGTTGTGTGTTAGGCTTTTTGCATATCACAGATTTTCCTCGGCCAGTTTACCAAAAAATAAATCGATAAACTTTCACCCTGCTCCCATTAAAATGCCATTAAGATCGGTGGAAATTTGTCCAGCCGAAAATCCCCAAGCCATCATCGGATATCAATAAGCAATTGCTAAGCTAATTGCATTGATTTAATGCCTTATCGCATTTAAATTATCTCACAGACTCCCAGAAAATAAAATAGAAATAATAATAATAAAATCCCACCAAAAATTTCACTTTCTAAGCAACAGGTGAAATCTCCACCTGAGTGCTTCCTGTATGGCCAGCGTAAAAAACGGTGAAAAGAGCCGCAAAAAAGTACCCACTGCGGTAAATATATATATTAAGAATAATTATATTTGAGTGAGCTCAGCGCTTCTGTTTCACATTTTCTCATTTCTCCCAGGCGAAATTGATAAGCGAGAGAGACTAAATCCCTCCCCCTCCCACCTCAACCCATTCCGGGCTTAATGTTGCTCAATTAAATTCATTGAGCTGCATAAGCACCTTCCACCAACAACGCATAATTATGCAGATTGTTGGCCATTTAAAGGGCCGGCTCTGTCCCAACTTGCCCCAACTCCCAGCTCGGTGTCTTCCTCTTTGGGGGAGATTGCATGTCAGGTCGGGCCAACAAATCGCGTCTAATTAGTGACCCGCAAATGAAGAAATTTTTCGGACACGAAAGAAATTTCTTTCTGCACTGGGAAAATCAAGAAGGCAATCTAGGTGTGTGTTGAGTTTTATAAACATTTTTAATGAGTAATAAAAATTAATTAAATATTTTAAAAACCATTAAAAATGCAAGAAGATACGAGAATAAAGTCAGCTGAATAGTTTTTTATGTGTTAAATGAAACTTTTATATTTACCTTTCAAAAAATTCCACCCTTTCTTTCAGTGCCAAAGTTTTCCTTCAAGACATGCAACTTTGTATTCAAAGTTTTTGATTTTTGTGGACAGTTCTTAGTATTTAGTTTTTGTTTTTTTTTTCGGCTAATTTGTTGTGGTTCATTTTAATGATGCGAAAGGAAAGTTACGAAAATAAGAAAAGCGATGAGGTAGCTCTGGGTTGGCATTTTCTAATGATGCATATAAATCTCATACCGAATAAACCCAAAACCCTGCAACCAATATTTACTACCAACGTCGCTTTTGGCATGCAAATTTCAGCCACCGGCTGTCTGGCCAATAATCAAAGCCAATCAATCAATATATGGCTGGTCATCTGAGCTCTGAGGTTCAGTATCCCAGCCTTTTGGATAGCGGGGGAGTCGAAGAGTTAAAGAAGAGTCGAAGAGCGGAGAAGATGATGATGGCTCATAAATTCGGAAAATGCAGACACCTTAGCAGCTTTTTGCCTCCTTTTGCTGATGAAAGATGAGTGGAAATAATTAGTTATCGACGGCATCTGTGCAACAGTAGCAAAGTCAGTCAACTCGGACCCGCTGCGTTTTTGATGGGTGCTGAAACTTTCGCCAAAATAATAATTACTCAGGAATTTCTATGATCGATTACTTGGGGAATATCTTATCGCAGATTGGAGATTCAGTTGGTTCAGTAGAGGATCCTCAGGGGATACCTTATGGGTTTTGAAACTTTTATTTTACCATTTAAATCTCGTTTATGTTAGTAAATTACCCATCTTGCCCAAAGAACATTTTCTTGCCTTTCTTATATAGAGCACTATAGTTACTTTCTATTATCTCAGTTTCAACTTTTACTGAGCCAAAAACATAGGTTTCTGGGGACAAGAATCCCATGTTGAAGTGAAAATTGCCGACTTTAGATCGAGATTGAGGACAATGCGGAGAAATGGGCGACAATGAGTTATTTTTGTGGCTAACCGTTGGCAATTTCGGTGTCTGATGGCTAAAAAGTGAGCGATTCTTATAGCCAGCCTAATGAAAAATGTACCGAGCTCCTTAAACTCTAATTAAAGTTTTTAAGTGTCTGTGTGTCTTGGGTTTAGTTGTTCGTTCCTCACTGAGTCTTGTTAAGGGGCTAATGCTATAAACTGTCTTCTAACTGTGCCCATTCTGTCTGTTTTCATGTGGCTGCTGGAGCTGCTGAGGCTGCTGAGACTGCTGTGTCGGCTTCTTTTCCCTGGGCATTTTTCTAAGATCTTTGGCTAATTAGTTGGCACACTAAATGTTTTTGAGGATATCTTATATGCTTAATATAAATCCGCTTTATGCATTCGCTGAAACCTCGTAGAGTCAATGGGATATTACTTCCATTCCCCACAGACTTCTTCCGGTAATAGCCATAAAAAAGAGCTCATCTTTTTTTGTGAGCGGTTTTTATGATTTACTTGGCTTTTCGCACTGTATATTTTTACACCTCTTTCGTTTGGATGAAAAACGCATTGTTTTTCTTTTTCATAAGTCAAACATAATTCTTGATAATTTTTTGTTGCTTTGTTTTTTTGTGGAGTGGTGCGGGTAATTGAATTTGTGGCAAGCGATGGTCCACCTCTCCAGCATCTTGAGGTATTTATTTAATTATATGACGGGTCTTGACTTCTTCTTCAGGCGCCGCCAGCTGCTTTCTAATCAACATTGGTCCAATGATTTGCATTTTCAGCTGCTTAAGCTTTGGCTTTTGGCTTCTACGGTTACTTTTGCTTTAGTTTTTAATTGTTTTTGCTTGAGCAGAGTTTAGAGAGAGGAAGCACTTCTACGGTTGAATAACTTTGATAGAGGCATCAGGCATGTGGCAATTTGGTTAAGAACTAAGACAGCAAGTCCTGAGTTCTGTAATTGTCTGTTATTAACATGAAATGTAACTTTATGGCGTTATAATTGGTTTTCATTCGTTTTACTAATTAATGGGTTGGTTGTGGATTTTCCAATGCTTTTCTTTTAGGGAAAATATTGTTGTTGGTGTTAAATCGTTGTGAAGACAGTAATTAGTTTAGCTTCTTAAGTTTGTATCCATATAAGTTAGCCAAGTAATATTAGTTAGTAAGTTGAAATAAATACTGATTTGCTATTTGCTTATTAAGTAGCTCCATCTTTTTTGCAAAAATTCATATATAAATCAATTTTAATTTATTAATGTTCTAAATATTTAATTTATTAATATATTATTTTAAACTTTTTAACTCTTGCATTACTACTTTTCTTATCAAATGAAACGCTTTTTACATTAAATGTAAAATGTATTTAATAGTTATCCGAAAAGTAGGCAATGAATTTTAAGACCTCAGTGAACCCTAAAAGAGTGTGCATAAAACAGGTCTATGAGCATGGCAAAATGCTGGTGTTGGTAAATAAAAATTTATAAAGCCTATTCTTAAGGGCATTTTGTTAAATGCAATTCCTTAAACTAAAATATTTAGCTACAAAAAGCTAAAGTAATTAAAAGCATTTTACACATTTTTTCATAAATTAAAATTTATTTTTTGCCTTTTTACAAAGTGTTCAAAACCAAACATCGCTCTATATCGTTACTCGTATTAAGATAAAGCAAATCTTGTAGCTTAAATCGATGTACATATGGATAGTAAGAGGGAAGAGAAGGTTACTTTACGTCACACATGGAGTGAAAAGCCTTTGTGCAATTTCTAAATTAATTTCTAATTTCCTTGGCAAGTCATTTCTGAATTTCAAAGGAATTCGCTTGAAGTAGCTCACGAAAATTGCACTGAAATAGCTGCCAGAGTTGCCACAGTTTCGAACTGCCCTCGCTATGAATTATTCAATGACATATCCTTACGATAACTAACTGCACCCCAACTGCTCTTTTGGCACATCCTGCTCTTTGACCTTTGCTGCGTTGCTCTACGCAATTTCCTTTTAAATTATAACTGAAACTGTTTTTGTTTGTTTTGTTTTGTTTAAAGTTATACATATATTAAGATATATACAATTTATGCGGGTTAGATTACGAGTATAGTTTGTTGCTATATTACATAAGGGAAGGAAATGGCCCCTCCTTCGTTGCAGGTTTTGTTCTTGTTTTCATAAATATTCATTACAAATTATTTGTATAACAAACTGCGCACATATCGTTGCTTAAAACTAATTAAATATTTATATCATACGTTTTATGACCAAAATTTGGTAGCAAAAGAAACACGCTCTTTCGAAACATCAAAATGATTTGTGTGGAAGTGCATTTTAAGTTTTCTAAGCTTGCATTTGTTCGTTTTTCCTTTCTCATTAGTTGGTAACTTGGCGAGACTCAATTGGCTCAGTCGATATCTATATAGTAGCTCTTCCCCCCGCTCAATCTGTCCTCCTTTACAAAGTGTGTGTGTGTATGTGGAATGATGATCCCTTAGTGATGACCTCAATCGTTGGCCATGCAGTACCCGGAATATGTCTGTATGTTGTCCTCCAGGAAACTCTCGCCGGATATCACGCCAGACTGCGTGTGATGACTGGGACAGCGGTGACCTTTTGGGCACTGGCACAGGGAGTTGATGTTGACCTCGTCCAGGAACTCCTGACGTTTTCGCACCGTGAACAATTTGCACGGTTGTTTTCGCTGACAGCGAAGGCGCTAAAATGAAATTTTTATTATAGCTAAGTTTATAAAGAAAAGATTCTTTCTGAACTCACAGTCAGAGGAGAGCAGGCGAACAGATATCTGTAGCCTGGACTGCCGTCGCCGATGGGTTCCCTCTTGGTAAGATAGGTCACCGAATTCCGGGGACACCGACAGTGAACTATCTGCTCCGTCACATTCAGCTCGGCTGCCGTTGTCAAGGTCCAAGTGTAGTCACGGAAGTGTCTGCAAGAAGAGGAAAATATTTGATTAAGATCATTTTATCACAAATTTAAGACTTTAACTTACTTGCAAACTGGCAACTTATGCACCGGCTGGCACATTTTGTAGTGCCTCGTCTTATCCGCAATCGTATGACCATCCTCAACGCCCAAACTACTGGGACAGCCGCCAATAAAAGAAGTTGGTGGCTCCTTTAAGCCTCGATGTCCTGAGTGCCTCATGTGCGCCGGTCCCCTAGGGTATTCATTATCCTGCACCTCCGCATAGGGCAAAGCATCATTATAGTCCGGCGATTGATCCAAATGATCTATATCGTCTTCGTAAACGGCTCCTAGCTTCTGCATCAGCTTCTTCATATGCAGACTTTCGAATTTCTTATCTTGGAATTCACCCAAGAGCATTCGCTTGTGCTGCATCATCTTCTCCCTTTCGAAGTAATTCCTGTACTTCAAGGAATCCGCAGATCCCGACGAATGACTGTGATGATGGATGATAACATTGTTGGGCATGCGATTCGATTCAGGGCAGCGACATTGGCGCTCAATCCAAGGGGTTTCGTACAGGTCAATCTTGGAGCAAACCGCATTTGGTGCGCAGATGGGCAAGTCCTCTTCGGAGTCCTGGAAAATAAAAGAATGCAAAATTGTTAGAATGCATGCTAACTAACTAATTGGAAAGTATATTATTTCTTATAGATATTGGAACCTAAAACAATGCTTTCAAATTTGAGAAATCAATAAGATTTACGTTATTTAAGAGCTGATTTTAAGCCTCGAAAGCCTATTATTATCCTCTTGATGCTCCCTTTGATTATTTGCCAAATTACCATATGATAAACAAAACATAAAGGCAAACTTCTATAGAGCCTGGAATGCCTCGAACCCTTCAATAATAGCCGCTTGTGTCAACACAATCTTGGCAACTTGATTAACATAACTACAACGACTTAAGCCGGAGGATATCTTAGCTGGGTGTTTGTTTGTTGTTTGTTTGTTTGTTCTCCGGCAAATACATTTCATTAATTGAATTCTTCAAACACACACAAAGAGTCCCAGAAAGTTGGGCCCTGTTGTTGCTGGCCCAAGTTGGGGCCAATAAAAACTTATGCATTGTGCTGGGTCCTGGTCGTAACATAAAAGCCAACAACTAGCAACTGATGGGTGCTTCTCGAGGATGCCACTCCAGAGGCTGATTCCTTTCTATCATTCGATTTTATTGTTAGTGATGCTTGACAGTAACAGCAACAGCAACGGCAACAACAACAACGACTACAGGTTTCCAATGAAATTATCGAAAGCAATCAATTTTTTAAGTGGAACTGTCGCGCACCTTGTGTTTTTTTTCTCTCGGTGTGTTATCCCTTTTTGTCGAGGGTTTTCGCCTTTTGTTTGGTTTCAATTTCATTTCTCTCTCTATCGCTCTCCACTTCGTTTTATTTTCTTGATTTTTATTCAAATTATTTTTGGGTTTTTTTCGGCTTGCACCTGCTGCTACCTGAGCTGTTTAAGGGTCATTCGTTGAGGTCCTTTTTCTTTCGTTGGAGAGCGCATACCGGAAGTCCGGAAGTGATTTAGTGCAACTGAGAGGAAGTAAATAAGTGTGTGCACACGCACACTGGCGCACACAATGCGATATTCAAAAAGGGATTAGCCGTAGACGAAGCGGAAGTGAATCCGGAACAGGTTGTCTGACCTTTTACCTTTTTGCTCGATTGAGCCAAGGAGAGAGAGACTCTATGACAATTCTCTACTCTTCTCTGTCTTAGTCGCCCCCGGAAGTCGTCTGCCTGCCTTCCTTATACACTTTATTAGTTTTATTTACTTCCTGATTGTATTTTTTTTCTTTCTTATAATTTCGCTTCCGGAACTTCCTTTTTAGCGAGTTCCACCGTTTCCCACGCATTTTTGACCCAGTTTTTTGACGTAGCGTAGCACCTGCCGAAAGTCCTTAACCCTTTCGACGAGCGAATTTGTCTTCACTCTGATTTTTCATATTTCAAGCAGGAGCTTCGGGCATTGCTGAGATTCTTTTTCGATTTAAGGGGGCAGCTATCAGACCATTGTCAATCCACCCCTGACAGGATATGCCAGAAGTGGAGTTTTAAGGGGGATCCGTTGAGTAAGCAGCGTGAGAAATTCTTTGAAATTCGAGCATGTTTATTGAGATTTCTTCCCCTTCAGTGTTTCTCTCTCTCTGTCTGTTTTGTTTTTTGTTTTTTTGCTGTCTTGTTGTGTCGGGAAATGGCACTTCAAAGACATCACCGTTATACGTATAAAATTTTACATATTGATAAGCAAATCACAGGGCAGGGGCAGCATATCAAAGAAGACATGCTTCATCGACATTCCAATGCCATCAGCTCATCTCTGCGAAGCTCACAATCAGTGCAGATGGAGAAAATCTGTGCGTGTTTGGTTAGTATTGTAAAGATGTTAAACTTCTGTTTTTTATACTTCAAATGTTTGAATCAATATTCCTAAACCAAATATGATTTAAAATTACGCTTGCTGTGGCCATATACCAGTTCATTCTCTAATATTCCTTTACAAAAAAAAACAAACCAAACAAAATTTCTCTCTGTGCATTTGTAGAATCAACTTATAAACAACTCGAAAGTTTCTGTGTTGGCGAAGAAGCTGGAAGAGTAGTAAAAGTTTTGCCCGGCCAACACAAAAAAAAAAGCGAGGAAAAAAGCAAACAACAAGAAGGGCGTCGCGAAGGGAGAGAAGGCAACCGGATTTCCGGTTTAACAGCTCCCCAAAGAAGTGGAGTGAGTAGTGCGAGAGGAGTGGGGAGGGAGTCCAAGCTGCTGCCACACTTTATAATTTGCCCGATCTCCATCAGCAGCACGCGTGTACCGCTCCCCAAGCAGTCAAACAATTAGCCTCATGTGTCAAAGTGCAGTGCCAACGGAAGTTGAGAACGCGCCAAAGACAATGGAAACAGTTTTCCCTTTCTCTACCCCCCCCACCCCCCTGTCTGACCACCACATTCGCCATTCTTTAGCAGCTGGACCCTGCAACGTGATGCGGCAAGCATTGACAAACTTTTGTGACTTTTGATTTCAATGAAAGCCGCCTGCAAAAGAGAAACCCTTCTCCCATTCCATCTCGTTAATTGAATCAAATTAACCCCGCACACAACCTCCAGAAGGGGCTGAATGGGTTAAAGAGGGCGGGAGGGGGAAATGGGTGGCTGCCACGGGGTACTCCCCTCAATGGAATTCTTGGAGCTACTTCTAGCCTCATTGCTGTCATGCCTCATGTGGCTGCCTGAATGCCGGGAATGCCACTCGACGCAACGGATGTGAGGTGTCTTCAATGGCAAAAGGCAGTGGAGGCAATTTCGAGGGCTTTCTAAAGGGATTTAAGTTTAAAAAATCACTTTTTGTAAGAAAGATTGATAGATGCCTTCTAAAATATGAAAATGTAGAAAATATTACAAAAGGTTTGACTTCTTTCTGGTTTCTGATACTTAAAGCAAACCAGTTATCAAACTTTAAACTGAAATCAAAAGGTTAAGATCAAAACTAAGAAAAATATAGAACCATCAAACAACTTAAATCTAATTTTTATTGGTCCATCTAGTTCACCATATTCTGTATTCAGAACAGTCTCACTTTCACATGAACCTGACTATGACTTTTGCAAAATAGGGCCATGTAACCGAAGTGCACCTGCTGCCCATTGTTGTGCGTTTTTGGCCCTCATCTGGTGCTATCAATAACTGCCTAACCGAAGGACAATCAATGACATAAATTTCCACACAACAAACGGAAGATGTCTGAGTTTTCCCGGTGCAGCAGCGGCAACAGTTGGTTGAGTTTTTCATTCCCCCCGCCGCCCCGTAGTAGTTTTCTTTCGTGGGTTTCGGTTCCCATGAGGGCGTTGACGCACACACGACGATCAGCGTCCGGGCCGGAGATTTTTCCGATTTTCCAACCGTTAGACGAGACGGATGGATGGCAGCAGCCTGCCGCCTGCCACAAGTGTGTTGCCATCAGGTAGTCTCCGCTATATCCTATCCCCTCTACCCTCTGTTATCTTTTGTCTGTGCGTTAATGATTTTTCTATACATTTCCTTTTCACATTGTTTTTCCTCTCTTTTTCCCCGACTCCGATTTTGGGTTATTCTTCTGTGTTTTTTGTTTTTGGGCTAGAGAATTATGCAATCTGGCGTCGTCATGTGGCCGGAGTAAGCGGAAGTATGCCGGCTCAGCCTCAGTTTTGATCCCATCCCGAGTTTCTGGTCAAGTCTGGCCATCTCGTATATTGCCTCAAGTTGGTGTGTTTACACGAAAATTCAATTAAAATTGTTAGAAACGGAAGTGGAAGATGGAGCCGAAGAGGCGGAAGTAACACGGAAGTTGTTAGGTCACTATCTACCTTCCGATTCCAAGTCCGATTCCGAGTTCCAGAGAATTCCAGTGAAAACTCTCAGGCTCAGAGCTCTTAGAGAGATTCAGCCCAGCCCAAGCCGGAAGTAGAAAAGATTTGTGTACTGCCGGCTCCTCAGAAAAATGAATTTATATACATATATATATATATAATAATAATACTTTGCATAGGCAAGTCGAGGAATCGCCAGGGGCACGCAGACTGACCGTGCCACTTTTGCTGGGCTTTTTTCTCTCTTTTTTTCTGTGGATTGCCTTAACGGAAGCATGCCCCAACCGCAAACAAGCAGAGAAAAAACATTTTCATTCATAAAACAGCAGAAATTCCAAAAGGAAGCGGGCAAAAGCCAACAGACAACAGCAGAAAAATTATAAGAATGTCAGCTAAAAGGGGAGTGGTAGAAGCTCAGATACCCTGAATGTGAGAAAACTTTTAAGGAATTTCTTTAAATTTAAAATATAATCAGTTATCAAGAAACTAACTTAAACTTTCTTCTTAATACATCCATTAACAAACTTTAAACTTTAGTTTTCTTTTCCTATCCTAAGCTCATCGTTAAATCGAAATACCCCTCTCGCTTGTCAAGGATTGTTAAGGGTATTGCTGGGAAACTGGTTTCTCTGGGGGCAGCCAATTGCAGCTGAAGCAGCAACAAACAACATCAGCAACTTCCCCTTTTTGTTGCTGCTTGATTTTTGCGTAGCTTGTTGATCGTCACAATTAATGAACGTCTACGCACACGGACATCCACTAACCACATCCACATCCTCATCCTCATCCTCAACTCCACATACCCCAATGCCTGATACCCAACCACAATCAGTCTCAGCTGCTGAAGTTGTTGCTGTTGCTGCCACAACGGAACGGAAAAAAGTAATTCATTCATTCATTCATTCAGCAACAACGTGGCATAGTTGTTTGTGGCTTTTTTTTCTGTGTTGTGCTGCGGCTTTCTGGCCATTGTAATTGTTGCCTTGGCCAAAAAGAAATAAGACAACCGCAAAATGTTGCCGACTATATGGCGGGCTATAAACATGTTGCTACTTCTGATGTTGCTGTTGCTGCTGCTGCTGCTGTGCTGTGCTGTTGTCTCCTTTTACGCGCTTGCCGCCAAATAAATAAATCTTGACTACAATGCCGATGGCTTGTTGATGTTGCTGCTGGGCTTGCTGGTGTTGCTGCGGGGATTTTTATGAATGAATGAATGGACAGCTAGCTAAATG